TATTTGTTTTGGATTGTGATATTTTTAATTATAAAAACTAATTAAAAACAATAAAGCTCTTTTTTCTTTTTCTTTTTATCGTGCTTGCTGTTTTGTTTTTTCTTTGTTAATTAAGCTCATCATTTATTTTATTCATTTGCTTTTATTATTAATTAATTTTATTATTTCATATTTTTTCTTCATTTTTTCCTTCTAATTAACTATATAATGATATATTTTTTCTTCAATATTAAAAAAGGTCTAATTAAATTGGTGCAATGGGTGCATCAGGCTTAGGTTCAGCTTTAGCAAAATGCATTAATCTCTCAAATTTGACACTTAACCTTCTGTAAAAACACTTTATTTGTTTTGGATTGTGATATTTTTAATTATAAAAACTAATTAAAAACAATAAAGCTCTTTTTTCTTTTTCTTTTTATCGTGCTTGCTGTTTTGTTTTTTCTTTGTTAATTAAGCTCATCATTTATTTTATTCATTTGCTTTTATTATTAATTAATTTTATTATTTCATATTTTGTCTTCATTTTTTCCTTCTAATTAACTATTTAATGATATATTTTTTCTCCAATATTTAAAAAGTTACAATTAAATTGGTGCAATGGGTGCATCAGGCTTAGGTTCAGCTTTAGAAAAATGCATTAATCTCTCAAATTTGACACTTGACCTTGGGTAAAAACAGTTTATTTGTTTTGGATTGTAATATTTTTAATTATAAAAACTAATTAAAAACAATAAAGCTCTTTTTTCTTTTTCTTTTTATCGTACTTGCTTTTTTGTTTTTTCTTTGTTAATTAAGCTCATCATTTATTTTATTCATTTGCTTTTATTATTAATTAATTTTATTATTTCATATTTTTTCTTCATTTTTTCCTTCTAATTAACTATTTAATGATATATTTTTTCTTCAATATTTAAAAAGTTACAATTAAATTGGTGCAATGGGTGCATCAGGCTTAGGTTCAGCTTTAGAAAAATGCATTAATCTCTCAAATTTGACACTTGACCTTGGGTAAAAACAGTTTATTTGTTTTGGATTGTGATATTTTTAATTATAAAAACTAATTAAAAACAATAAAGCTCTTTTTTCTTTTTCTTTTTCTTTTTATCGTGCTTGCTGTTTTGTTTTTTCTTTGTTAAGCTCATCATTTATTTTATTCATTTGCTTTTATTATTAATTAATTTTATTATTTCATATTTTTTCTTCATTTTTTCCTTCTAATTAACTATATAATGATATATTTTTTCTTCAATATTAAAAAAGGTCTAATTAAATTGGTGCAATGGGTGCATCAGGCTTAGGTTCAGCTTTAGCAAAATGCATTAATCTCTCAAATTTGACACTTAACCTTCTGTAAAAACACTTTATTTGTTTTGGATTGTGATATTTTTAATTATAAAAACTAATTAAAAACAATAAAGCTCTTTTTTCTTCTTTTTCTTTTTATCGTGCTTGCTGTTTTGTTTTTTCTTTGTTAATTAAGCTCATCATTTATTTTATTCATTTGCTTTTATTATTAATTAATTTTATTATTTCATATTTTTTCTTCATTTTTTCCTTCTAATTAACTATTTAATGATATATTTTTTCTTCAATATTTAAAAAGTTACAATTAAATTGGTGATGAAGGTGCATCAGGCTTAGGTTCAGCTTTAAAAAAATGCATTAATCTCTCAAATTTGACACTTGACCTTGGGTAAAAACAGTTTATTTGTTTTGAATTGTGATATTTTAAACTATAAAAATGAATATAAAAAAAATTTCTTTGAATTTATTTGATAGCTTTTATTTGATTTATTTTTTTATCTTTTTTATTGCACTAATATTATTTTATTTATGAATTTAAAGAATAATTTTTAATTTAAAAGTTTATTCTATTTTGATATTTATTTAAAATTTACACATATTTATTTTAAAATTTTTAGCTCAATGAAATTTTCATAAAAATTCAAAGTAAAAGGCAAGTGTCTTAAATCATAAAGATTAGTTGTCTTTAATTTAAATTTCTAATGATAAACAGCTGGTGAAAAAAGGATGAATCAATATAAAATGTTTGAATAATATGATATATTTTATTATTTAATATTTTTAAAAAGTGTTTTTAACCTAAAATATAAATAGATTTATAGTTGTTATTATTGATTTTAAATTTATAAATATCATTCATATTTTTGTAAGTAAATAAATTATTTATTAAAAATAAAAAAATTTAAACTTTAAATTTACTTAAATAAATTAAATCCTCTTAAGCAAACCCTCCGAATTCTCCAAAAACGATAAAATAATTTGGAACTTTTAGTTTAATATATCTTATTAAATTAAAAAAATACCAAGCTTTTATATGCCAGTTATATTATTATCTTAAATATTATCCATGAATCATATTTCTATCCTTTTTTTATTTATCATGATTAATTAATTAGATACCATGATTTAAATAAAACCTTAGGGAGAAACCAAATTTTACTTTTTATTTTAATTTATGTGTTGTGAATCTTCAGGTAAATGCATTAATTTTGGGTGAATGGGCTATTATTTTAGTAGGATCGGCGATAATTGCGCCTATCTATTATATATTATGTTAAATAAATTTTATTTTCCTAAAATATAGATATTCTAGTGAGTTGAGTAACCTTATATTTAAGCTAATGTCTTAATGTTAATTAGCTCACAAGACAGACCTGATTGTGATTAACTACTTAATCTTCCTATTATAAAGAAAAAAATAGAAGATTTAAATATAAAATAAGAAACCTTTTCAAAAGAAGGCTTTAATGCTCAAGCAATCAACTAAAAACTAAGTGTACTTGATTAAATAAAGTTTCCTGCTAATAAGAAAAATCTTTAAGAAAGGTTACCTAAACCTTCATACAATACTAATAGCTAATAGGAGATTAAAAAATTTACTCCTAATAACTAGATAGGTACTTACTTATCAAACACCAACTTCAGAAGAATTGAAAAATATGAGGAGAGTAAGATCTAATTTTGGAATACTATTGAAATCTTAAAACTCTCTCTTAGCCTCAGAAATATCAAAGATTTGATTTACTGATTGAATAAAAAATTCAGAGAAGATTGAATAATCTAAATTCAAGAGAATAATTATCCTATCAATCATAACAAAATATCTCATCTAGATCTAATTTGGATTTAAGAAAAAGATAAATATCTGAAGACTTCCAAAATTACTAATACAGATAGATAGATAGCTCTTCTAGGATAATCATTACAATCTAAATTATATTAGCAAACCGACATAATTGGAATGTAAAAGAAGTGATAGACATTCATATTATGAAAGAAATAAAGACTAAGAGAATGATATCTAATATAGTAATAAAATTATTCCTCATAGAGATATTTATAGCGCTAAGAATCTTTTCATTGGAGATTCTAAAAACGCAAATTAATATATCAAAAAACCTTACTCAATTAGAAATGACATTCCTCTTCCATATTCTTCTTTGAATTCTAATAAAGAAGATTTATATTTTGGTGGAGCAAAAAGAGTATAAACAGAAGTTAGATAGATCTCTTCTAACTAAACAATATAGATGATATAGCAAATCAACTTAATTAATTAAATCTAAGCGTTTATATAAAATATTAAAAACCTAAAAATAAATATATCTTTATAAAAATATTTATTAATAATTTGATTTACATACAGAATTTAGATAGATCTCTTCTAATTAAACAATATAGATGATATAGCAAATCAACTTAATTAATTAAATCTAAGCGTTTATATAAAATATTAAAAACCTAAAAATAAATATATCTTTATAAAAATATTTATTAATAATTTGATTTACATATGTAAATTTGCACTTTTTTTCACTTAAATTATTATTTATTTTTTGTTTAAAAATACTTTTTCATATTAAATATAAAATTTTCAATTAGCAAAATTTTGTTCGTTCGAATAATATTTATTTGGTAAAAATTATTATTCACATTAATAACATAATATGGCTCTAAGTATTCAAATAATTTTTTTAAATATTCACCAATCAAAGAAGTTTGTGTATTGTCAAATAAACCTTGCGATACTAAATATTATAAATTTCAAATAGAGAAATCGTATATTTATCTATCTATCATAAAGTAAATCAAATAAATTTTATTAAAAGGAAATGTAGTTTTGAAAAATTAAAGTCTTTTTAATAGATAATACAATATTAAAAATATTTATTTTTTTAATGTTAAAATTAATAAATTTAAAAAGCCTAATTTCATTTGAATTAATTTTGGAAAAGAATATTAAAGAGATGTTAATTGTTTATTAAACTTTTAAAAAAATCATTAAACGATTACATAAAAGCTAATATAAAAAAATCAAAACCTAAAGTAAAACTAAATAAAAAAAATGGAATATTAATTTGATTCATCAAAATAATAATATTATTATTAGGTTTATTTATTTATTTTTAACTTTTTCAGTCAAAGAATGGAACATAGCTAAACATTGCCATAACGGAAGGATCGATGGTTCTTTGATTCTTATTAAGGGTTTCTAATTCTTTGAAATCTTCTTCAGAAAGTTTAACATTAATAGAATCGATATTTTCTTTCAATCTGGAAGGTTTATCAGTTTTAGGGATCACTGAAAGCCCTTAGTTCAATAAGAATCCTAATAGTACTTAGGAAATAGTAATTTTATGCTTTTTAGCAATCTTTTGAAGAATAGGATTTGACTCAACATCAGTGTATTTTGCTAAGGGTGCATAGGCAGTGACATGAATTCCAAATCTTTAGCAAAATTTAATTAGGTTCTTTTGCTAAATAAAAACACTGACTTCAACCTAGTTTGAAACAGGTTTTACTTTAGCATAGCTAAGAAGATCGGCAAGAGCCATAACATTAAAGTTTGATACACCAATAGATTTAGCTAAACCTAATCTATGAGCTTCTTCAAGCTGAGCCCATGCTACATGGACAGGTAAATGAACGAATTCTTCCTTCTCACTTAGGAAACCAAGAGGGAAATGTAAATAGTATAAGTCTACATAGTCAAGTTACAATTCCTTAAGGGATTTTTTAACAGACTCAAGCATGTTGATTCCCTTGTTAGGAAATACCTTGCTGACAATAAAGAGATCTTTTCTACTATATTTTCCCTCCTTAAAAATAGTTTTTAGAGATTCTCCTATCATAGCTTCATTTTAGTAATTGACTGCAGTATCAATATGGCGATATCCTGCATCTAATGCAGTTCTGAGCAAATTAGTCATTTCTTCTTTACTATTAAGTAAATAGGTTCCTAATCCAACTAATGGCATAATTTAGCCATTGTTGAGTTTACTAGAGTTTGCTGCTTTATTCATTTTATTATTATTAGGTTATAATTTATTTGTTTTGTTTTAGATTAATACATAATAATAATAATAATAATAAAATTTTCATATTTAATTAATAAATAAAGAACAAATCCAGAAATATGAGCTTGTAACATCTGATAAATTATAATAATAAAATAAATAGTTAATAAAAATATAATTAAAGATTTAATTTATTTTCACAAACTATTATCAAATTGAGTAAATTATAATTTTATTTCCCATTATTAAAATTTTACCTAAAGTCATATCTTTCTTTTTCTATTCTTAAAAATAAGATTATAACTGTGTTTACAAAACTCAATTTTTTACATAAGCCAAGTTATAATTCTTTTAAATTTAATATCAGGAAATAGATTATTAAAGATTTAATTTATTTAAACAAATTATTATAAAATTAAGAACATTATAATTTTATTTCCCATTATTAAAATTTTACCTAAAGTCATATTATTATTATTATTCTATTCTTCAAAATAAGATTATAACTATGTTTACATAATTCAAGTTTTTACTTAAGCCAAGTTATAATTCTTTTAAATTTAATATCATGAAATAGATTTATTTTCACTCTCTTTTTTAAAATATTTAACTTCTATCCATCTTTAATAAACCTAACGCGTATAAAAAGCTTAAGCGAACAAGTTTTGAGGGATAACCAACTGGTTCTGTGGTCATAAAATAGATTTATTTTCCCTCTCTTTTTTAAAATATTTAACAATTATCCATTGTTAATAAACCTAACGCGTATAAAAAGCTTATGCGAAAAAGTTTTGGGGGGGTTAACAAACTTGTTCTATGGTAATGGGGGAAGTAGCTAACCAAATAGAATACAAAACTCATAAATAATTAGATAGAAGAGGAGTTCTTTTTGGTGGCCCCTCCCTCACTAAAATTGTTATGAATGATAAAAATAAAATTTGAATTATGAATTATTCTATTATTATAATCATAAATACATTAAATTCAAACTTTTTGCAAGATTTACTACCATTTATTTTAGCTTAATATAAAAAATAGATTTTAATTTTCGATTTAAATTCACAAACTACATTTTAAAAATGCGATTAAATGTACCATCAAATATTTTTTAATAATAAAATAAAAATGAGAAGAATTATTCTAATAAGAAGAATCTTATCTTTTTTTATTTATTAATTTTTAGGTCAAATTACATGAAAGAAATTTGTTTCAATAAATTTTTAATGATATAAAAATATTTAGATTTTTGATTGTTTTAAATTAGCATTTTATACTCAGTCTTTCAGTCGGCTAATATATTTATTAGTGATATGGTAGAATTTTAAAATAAATTATTTTTAGTATACGTAAAAAATTGTTTTTTCTTATTTAAAGTATTGAATATTAATTAAGAGAAAACAACTTTTTCCTTTTTCCTTTTTCCTAACACAAATAAATTATAGAGCATCTATCTAATATTAATCAACTTAAAAAACGGTTGTATATTAATTTTGTAAAATAATCTGAAGAAATAAATTCTATTTTAAAATAAATTAAATTTTTTTTTAAATAAAATGAAATTCAAAATATTCTTTTATAGAGAGAGTTAAATAAATAATAGCAAATTTTATAATTATTTAATATTCATTTATTGTAAATTTAATTTGTTTGATCAATATATCAAATAAATCCTAAAGTAACAGCACTACCGTCCCATAACTATTTAGCTAACTCTTTATTTTCTGATAATTCTGAAGGAGTATTTAACTCACAATCACTATAAATTCACCTTCTTTAAGTCTCTCATGCTTTTCTAAATCACAATAGAGTATAGTTTAAGCTTCTTAAAATGTGTCTTTGGTAAAGAGCCAGTATATAGGATATATAAGGTAAAATTCAAGTTTATAAAACTTACTATCATCAATAATGTCATCGATTAAATTACTTCTAACTGTATCAGGATGAACTTCAACTACCTTAGCACCTACTTTTTCTAATTTTCCTTAAATATCTTCAGTGAATAACAAATTACAAAGTTTTGTCCTGTAATAAGAAACACCAACCAATTCAGCCATACTTTTTAAAACTAATTTATGCTCTAAAAATTTTTTCCTTAAATTCAAAAAAAATTAACTCTTTTCACTTTCCTTTGTATATCGAATATAAAAACTTAATTAAATAAATACTCTTTAACATATTATTTAGAATAATAGAATTAGGTTGATTCGTTGTACCCTGATGTAAGTATATTTTATAAAAAAATCAATAAATAATAAATAAAAATTAAATAAATCAATTAATTTATTAAATCAAAGAAAAATTAAGCAACAATCAATCAAGCAAGTAATCATTTTAAAATAGAATCAAAAATAGTCTAGAAAAATAAATAAAACCAGTTAATTAGAAATCAAAAGTAATAATAGCCTTAGTGATAACAACGAAAGCTGATGTAACTATTTATTTTTTTTGATTTCTTATCAATAACTAATCTAAATTTAATAATAATCTTGTTTGAATAATCAATAAAATCACTTTACTAAATTTAAAATAAATTAAGATAGATAAAATATTAATTTTGGGAAAAATTTTGATTTTTTAATAATTTTTGTATTACTTAGATAGAAGTAATTAATGTATATAAAAAGAATAATAAATAAAAAAAGACAAAGATAGCAAACAACAAATATTTCAGAAAAAATGATATGGACAATAGTAGTATCTGTCCAACAATTATTTCAATTAGACTTATTTATTAATAAGTATCAGATAGGTTTTCTATCCATAAAGTCATAAATAAATTCTTGAAACAGCAAAATGTTAAGTAAGAATAATTTTTAAAATTGTGGAAGCTAGCTCCACGTTTATTGATGAGAATTAAATCTCAAAAGTAGAAGAACTATAGTTGCTCATGCGTTTGAAATATCACGCAAGAACCATTAATGTTATCATGGTTTGTGATATTTCAAATAATTTTTATATAAATAATTAATTTTTTTTTCAAAATCTTAATTTATTTTGTTTATATTTTATTTCAAAATGTTTACAAAAATTAATCAAAATAAATACAGACAAAAACAAACCTTTTTTCAAATTTTGAGAGTAAAAAAATTTTTTTAAAACTTTTTCGATAAAATTTTAATGAAGTGGTTTTTTTTTATACCTTCCTTATTCAAAGGTGTTAATGTTATTTATTACTATATATAATTGTAGACAATTTTAATTTTCACAAAAAAAATATTTATTTGACTTGTTAACTAACCAACTCAAGAAATATTTGACAAATTAAATTAATATATTTATAATTCATTAATGATGAATGAATTTATAGCAACACTGTTTACTCTTTTCATCATTCTATATTTGAATTTATTGGAGATTTAATAGGTTTTAACCATAGAATTTTTGAATGAATTACTCAGACTCGACAGAATATTCAACATCTTCAAATAAATATGAATTCTCTCTTCTTATAAAATCAGTATCTATTTAAGAATTAGATTATTAAGAGATTCTTTAACGATATTATATTAGCTGTTACAAGCTATCAAGTTCTATATCTATATCTACAACTGTTAAGAGAAAATGGTCTTGTTAATTTTTATTTTATGTTTCCTAAAACTAAATGCTACAAACTGTTTTTTTCTTTTGGAAGATTTTGATTGGATATCCATCAAATGTGACAATATTTGATTCAAAAGATTCTTAACTAACCAGTTTTTTTTCTGTGGCTACTTTCACAAAATTAAAAATTCCTTCCAAAGCTTACTTAGATATATCTTACAAATTCTAGAAAAGATCTATTTTCTTATTTCTCAGAAATATTTGTGAAACAGTGTCTTTATCTAATCCTAATAAATCTAAATATTATTTTGAATATCCCATATGAATGATGTCTTATTCTTTTTTCTCCATATCAAGTTTAGATATTTAATAAAAAAAAAACAATGATTCATTTTTCTATTTAATTTATTAAACCTTCTAGAAACAAATATCAATAATATAATTTAGTTCCTTATCTATTTCCACTTAAAAATTATTAGAATTATATAGTGCATTTTCAATAAATTCATCGATAATAAAGAGGTATTTTTCAATTGTATCATTTATTTCGTTTTTACAATAACCATTAACATTATTCATTTAGTTTAAAAAATTTACAACTTAACTATTTTATTTGTTATATTGATAGTTCGATTTCTAAAAAAAAACATCAACAACATCTAAATCATATTTTTCTTCTATTCTCAACGCTTTTTAATGCTGATAATTAAAACTGAGCTAATTTATGCAAGGTAAAAATCTGAAAATCCCATCCGTAACTTACAAGCAACTATCCAGAAAGATTGTATTTGGTAAATACAAAAAATGATTATCCATAGACAGCGCTGTAATGTTTTTCTTCCACTAATATTTTCTTTTTTAGATAGAAATTGAATTCTTCTAATCTTTCTTCAATATCTTTGAAGATGCTCTTTTTGTTTTTTATTTCTTAATTACTTCAACACTTTAGAAGCTAGAAATTTCGCTTTAACAATAATCTCCCATTATATATAAATATTTATATATCCTCTAATTTGAAAATGCTTCTACTTTTATTATATTTTGTTTGTTTTTCTTAAATTTAATTATTTAAATGAATATTTATTAATAGTAGCAATTGATCTTATATAGATATTGGTCTTATATTTAAGTTTGTTTTATCAATTCCTTTTTGGAATAAATCTAGAAAGAAACAAACGAATAAATTATTGCATTCATTCTAAATTAAATAAATTAATTTATTTATTAAAAAATTAGATTTGATTTTATCAGATATAATTTGTTATATATCCGTATTACAAATAAATATATGCAAAAAATAATTCTTAATAAGAATTCATTAGTTAATTTATCTATCATACATAATTAACTAGCTTTTTAAATGAAAAATTTGCTTTCCTAATTTCTTAGAAATATCAAAATGTAAAACAAATTGCATAAACTTTATAAAATATCTGATTACTTAAACAAAATTTATGATTTCCGTTAAATAAAATTATTTCAATAAAATTTAAGATTTCGATTAAATTTATTCAAAAAATTACATTACTGTTCTAAATGTGAATTAATTCCTCGTATAATAAAAAAATTAGTAATGAACAGTTCTTAAAAGTTTATCAAATTTATCAAAAATAAATAACTAAATTTTAAGATATTAATATGATAATAAATAATTTATATATTTTATGAAAAGCATCTAAAATAACCAGAAATATCTTCACAGTTTAGATAACAATTTAAGTATCAAAAATTCTTTTGTAGAGTCTTTTTTAAAATTAATATATTTCGCCCACCTTTGATTTTGAGATATTTATTCTTTTAGTTTATCATAAAATTACCTGCCTAGAAATCTAAAATTTAAAAAAAATAATTTTCTCAAAACTTCAAATTAGCTTAAAATTTAAAATGAGAAGTTAAAAAATAAATTTAAATGAAATTAGTAAATTTGCTCTTATTATTTTTTTTTAATCTTCAGACAGAATTGTTTTTAGCCAATAAATTGCTAATTTTCTTTAGAATAGAAATTAATATTTAATTAAATAAATTCTATTTTTATTTAATTTTACATCATTTAAATTTGAAATAAATGTTTTTGTTAAATATTTTATAAAAAAATTAATTTTATTTTCAATAAATTACATAAAAAGCAAATAAAAATTTGATTAAAATTAAAAATTTTGTATTTAAAAAAAATGAAACTAAAATAAAATACATAAATTTAAAATTAAAAAGTAAACAAAAAACAAATTCTTTCTTTTAAAATTTTAAATTAATATTTTTTATTTTAATTTTAAAAAGACTTGCTTCTACAAAAAAATAAAACAATAAAACTAGCTTTAAAACATGATGAAATGCTATTTAAGAGAAAATAAATTAAATAATAAAGTATTAATAAATGTTGAAAAGAAAAAAAAATTATTCTATTTAATATTTCAAGAAACAACTTTTCATCTTATTTTATTTTTTATTAATAAATTAAAATCTTTTTAAAAATAATTCAAGCATATTTATTTTCCCTGATTTTTAATATTTTATTAGAATAATAAAAATCTTATTTATCATTTATTTAAAATAATTTTTATTGAATAAATTAAAAATAAACTTATGAATTTGTATTTAAAATTATGTTTTTTATGCTTAAACTGGTATGCTTTTTATTGAAATTATGTTATTTTTTTATTAAAATGAAAGAGTGAGATAAAGAAAATGAAAACATATAAGGAGCTTATTAAGATAATGAAAAATATATTTAAAATTTAAATTGACTACTAGTAAAAATCTCTAAAAAAATATATAAATAAATTTGAAATTAGCCGTTGATTAATTGAATTAAAATGAATAGTAGAAGGTATAAGAAATATTGATTAAGAGATATATAGATAGATATGAAATTATAGCTTTAATTACTTCAAAAATTGAAATATGCATGCTTATTAAGGATAGATAGATAGATACATCAAAAGATAAACAAACAATTTTTTAATGTTTTTCGTGAGCAATTGAATATATTATTTAATTAAAACAAAGGAAATCAATAAAAATTTAACGAAAATCAGTAATTAATATTTTTTAATACTCTTTTAGCACACAAGCAATTTAATTCAATAAAAAAGGGAGAATAATTATAATTTTCTTCAATTATTATAGGCAGCAATTAATAATGTCTTCGCAAACTGCTTAACCCTAGGTTTAAAATAGTGCACTCGCAGGTTCATCTGCTTCTTCAATTAAGCTCGTTTAGCAGCAGGTACAGGGATTCATTTAAGGTTTAAACAATGAAGAGCTGAACAAGTTGATTGAAATTTTTGAAAAATCATTAAGCTCTCCTAGTACAATTTCTAAAAGTTGCAAAATGGTTCAATACAAATGCTATGAAAGCAAGATTGATTTAAATGGAAAAGTAGGTTGTGGATTTGGTCGCAGTGAAGAGGATGCGATAGCAATTTCTATAAAAGATTTCTTTGAAATAATCTTGCAGGAAGAAAAATACCTTTACTAAGTAAAAGAATGCTTCAGACAAATGAAGGGATAGACTTAAAGCATAGCTTAACAAGCATAGAATTCTTAGCCAGCTGTTTAGAATCTAAACTAGATTAATGCATAGGACAAGACTCAACCTCAAAATAAAATAGTTTGCAAAAAAGTAGAAAGCGAAACAGAAAACTCTCCTACTGAGAGAAAAATGCCTAATTAAGTAATTTAAGATATTGATGAATCAGAAATTAATCCTAGTGATAACAATTAAGATTATTAAATGGCAGATAATCAAATATCTCTTATTGAAATGTAAATTAATGAATCAAATGTGTACGAATTATCAAAAAAGATAGGCAATATTTCTGTAATTAATGGACCTAATGTTATAGCTAGCACAAATTTTAACAATAACTCTCAACAAGACATCGATGAAATGCTTTTAAAGATAATGTTTGAAGAGGAGAAGAAATTCCAGCAGCAAAACTCACAACACAGCTAGCTTCATTCTCACTAATAGGCGAGCAACATCAATTAAATAAATTTTAATTAATACTTAAACAGTCTTCAAAATTCTCAATCAAATTAACCTCTCACTTAATTTTAAATATATCAAATGCAATACTTATAATAATAATAATAACAACAATAACAGTTTTAGCTACAAAATAAAAATTAAGGATCCTAACTTCAACTCCAATAGATTTAGTAATACTTCTAAAGCTAGTAGAATTCTCAAGGAAGTTACTTTCAAACTGCTTTGAATAACCAATAACTAGTTAACAGCAACACAAATATTATCAACTCCAGCCATATGAAGACAAATGATATGAATAATTTAGAGCAATAGTAATAATAATAAGAAGAGTTGTCACCTTAGAGCTATGAAAATGTGTCAACTCCTCCAAATAAAAACAAAAGGAGCTCTCTTTCAATCAACAACAGAGCCTAGCAATCTCATGTTAATTAACAACTTAATGACACAGCCTTTATGCCAACAAAAAATGTAAATACTTCCAACAACAACACTTCAAATTCCCAAAATAATCAATAAAAGTTATTGCGAAATAACAGCATTTAGAATAATAATAATCACTCATGCTCTTAATAAGAGCATTAAAGTTCCCATTTTTCTTCTCAGTAAAATGGAAGTAACTTTTTACAAAATAATATATAAAACATGAATAATTATAATGTGAATACATAAAATTCTTAAAGCTTATATGCAAATAAAGAAAATTCATTCTAGAATCAAAATAATTTAAATTTAGTTAACAGTAATAATAATCTTAGCAACACACAGTCTAATTTTGGACTTGCTAATAAACCAATCAACTAAATTGCAAGTTAAAGCAATGCTTTTAACCAGACAGCATAAATAAACCATTAAAATAGCAAAACTAACTTGCATTTACTTTCTACCAATTCTTCATGCTGCAACCACAAAGAAGAACTAGAAAGAGAGCGCAACAAGGTAGAGAATCTCGAAAAAAAGATAAAATTGCTAATGGAAGAGAACAAAATTCTAAAATCATTGCTTCTGGATAATTAGTCAGCCACTACCTCTCAAACTATAAAAAATAAATTGAACAGCAATTAAACTCCTAGAGGATAATTGCTATCTTAAAATAATACTACTAATACAAATACTAACTAAAATAATAATATCTAAGAATAATAAACTGATTTTAAAAATGTAAATAACAATAATAATTCTTAACATTTTTCGAACACCAAAATAGCCTAAAGAACCAGCTAAACAAATATGAGAAGTCAAAGCCAAGATCCAACTTCAAAGTATTTAAATAATAACAATAACCAAATTATAACTCACACATAATATTCCTCTGGCTAAAAGAAGACCAACTTTAACACTTCCGATAGTAAAAATAATTATCTCTATGGCTCTTCAGGCAAATACGCCAATGATGATCTGAATACCAGTCACATCTCACTGAATAATTCAAGCTAACTTAACCATTCTTCGATGAAAAAAAATGTCCCGAAACTCAACCTCGAAGTTCTTCCAAATTACCATGGAAATTTCAATAAAAGCTAAAATAATAAGCTACTCTAAGAATACAATTAAAAATATATGTACAAGAAGAGGTTCTGAAAAATTATTTTTTGTTCATCTAAATAATTATATTAACAAAAATTAATTTATAATTACCAACAATAAAATTCAACTAATTAATATAAAACTATTACAAAAAATTAAATAAAAATAAAATTTATCATCAAATCAAATCAAATCAAGCAAGTTGTAATTGTTAAACAAACAAACAAATATTCTTATATGTTAAATATCGACTCTATATTTTATTTATTAACTAAAGTTAAGACTCACTTTTAATTTACAAAGGAGTTCTTGCAATTTATATTTATGTTTCTTGTTTTTCTCTTTTAACGAATTATATTTTATCAACATTTTCTATCATTACCAAAATTAATATTTGATTTTCTTTTATTTGAATTAAAGAAAATTAATTAATTCTTGTCATTATGAGCCAAAAATTGCTTCAAAGCTACTTTGATGTTAAAGATATTGTGCTTCTTGGTATTCAATTTATTTATTTGATGAATTGTAATAATAACAATAATAATATCTTTTTAATTTTTTAATATCATTTTCAAAATTTATATTTTATCAACATTTTTCTATTATTTCCAAAAACAAACTTAATATTTTAAATAATATTATTAGAATTAAATAGCATTTATTTATTTAATTAACTAATTAATTATTATCGTTGTATTCCAAAATTTGCTTCAAACCTACTTTTGGTGTTTAAGATATTGTGTTTCTTAGTATTTAATTTATTTATTTGATGAAAAGTAATAATAATATTAATATCTTTTTTATATCATTTTTCAAAATTTATATTTTATCAACATTTACATTTTTCTATTATTTCCAAAAATTTAATATTTTACATAATATTGTTTGAATTAAATAGCATTAGCTAATTAACTAATTAACTAATTAACTATTATCATTATTGTGCCAAAATTTGCTTCAAATCTACTTTTGATGTTAAAGATATTACATTTCTTAGTATTTAATTTGCTTATTTGATGAATCCTAATAATAATAATAATAATATTTTTTTAAAATCATTTTGCAAAATTAATATTTTATCAACATTTTTCTATTATTTTGAAAAACTTAATATTTTACATAATATTATTAGAATTAAATAGCATTATCTAATTAACTAATTAATTATTATCAATATTTGCCAAAATTTGCTTCAAATCTACTCTTGATGTTAAAGATATTGAGTTTCTTAATATTTAATTTATTTATTTGATGAATAGTAATAATAATAAAATCTTTTTAATTTTTTAAAATAATTTTTCAATTTATTATTTTTATTTGAAGTTTTATTTTTTACCTTAATAATTTTGTTTTATCAAATACATTTTTCACACAACTCAAGTAAAATAATAAAAAAAGTCTAAAAACAAATTAATATTTATAAAAAATTAATCAAAATATTTTATAAAACTTAGTCAATTAAATATAATAAAGATGGTTTTTTTAGCAACTTCATAAATATAATTGTATTTTATCTGAGCCTTCTTCAATATGAATAATAAGATTGATTTTGCATTTGCTAACGGATGGATAATTAATTTAAGAATTTAGTAATTTAATTATTGTAAACAAAATACTTCCTTAGAATTCTAACAATTACTTAGCTTTTATATTCTACTAAAATCAAATTAAGTTTGCAAAATATAACTAAGATTAAAATTATAAAGTAAGCGAGTAAATCAATCAATAAATCAGCATAGATGAGCTAAAAATTGTAGCACAGCTCCAGATTTTAAACTCCTAGTAAGACTATAAAAATTTAGGATTTTTACAATCCTGAAGCGAGTTATTCTTCTAAATTTGAAGAGGGAATGTTTTTGAAGATTTAGATTAAAGATATAGATGAAGAAGGAGGTAGTTATAAAATAAATGGATAATAATATCCAAAGATCTTAGGACTTTCTTGTGATGTGTTTGTAAATTCAGTGCTAGAATAGAGAGTTAAATATTACAACTAAAGAGTTTTACAATAGTTAGGTCAACAAAATGCGATTGTCCCTAAAGAAGTTACTCTTTTTTTAGCTAAAGAAGATAAAATTCATTTTAGGATATTTGATTGCATTTAATAATAAAATAATGCTAAAAGTTCATATGAAGGCGGTTAAATGCAATAAAATTAGGATGCTAATATTCATGATATAGAAAGGTAGTTAGGAGAAAAGACTTTAGACTATTCTTTTTTTCAATAATTCTTAAATGATAAATCTTATAAATGGATATCGTTTCCTAGGTTAGTTCCATCTATTGTCTCTTCAGAAAAAAGAAAAATGGGATATATTATTGACCCTGAAGAAAAACCTAGTAAAAAGTTACAGCAGTAGAACGGTGAGAGTGTAACTAAAGTTTTATTTGAGTTTGAAAGGATTTCATTAAAGACTCTTTCACCGATGAAGGTAAAAATTGAACAAGGATTAGAACATTATCAAGATCCTCTTGATGAAAACCACCCTGCACTATTAAATAGAATAACAGATATCTTGACTGATGTCAACTGCTTGAAGGCTTTTAGCAATTACCAATTAATTAGTTGTGAATAGCAAAACTAAAATGAATAGCAACTGAAATACTATCAAAAATGCACTTAAATTTAAAGCTATTTGCTTAATTTGCAATAAGCTTTATACAATAAATACTCTCAAATTATCAGTTCAAACAAGAGCTAAAATACTCCGATTAAACCAAACACCAAAAATGAAATTGTGCTAGTTTAATAAATCTTTATTTCACCAGAAAAATAAAAAATTTAATCGATTCAAGCAAGTAATAACTTGAACAACAATAATGACTCTAGAGAGATAAGAGAGTAATAAGAAATAGATAGATTTTAAAGGTAAAGCAATGAAAATTTTATAAATTAATAAGGCAGATAGGAAATGCGTTTAGAAAATGATAGTTAACAAAGAAGTAGTAGAAATTTCTACAATTAATAAGCTTCTTCTGGTAAAAAATAGAATCAAATATAATTGAATTTCGATGTTTAAACTCAAAGCTATTTGTTTTAGAATGGAAATGATAATTCTAGCAAAAAAATAGTCCAACAAGAAGTAAGAAATTAACAAATTTAAAAACCAATTAGTGTGCAATTAGAAAGAACAAGCTATGATGAAATTTGTGATGATCTTTAAAAAATTTAATCTGATGTTGTTTAAATGTATGACTAACTGCATTAGGCTAAGTATTTAAGGGATTACATTTAATAATCTCCCAATTTAGAAGCTGAGTTGATAAAGCAAAACATAAATGATAAATAAGAAAAGAATGAAAAATTGCATAAAATAATTAATTAATACACAGATAGGATAAAGCAAAATAGCATAATTGACAGCAATATTGATGTTAGGATTAATACTTTATAAAGTATTTAAGAAAAATTGCAAGAAGAAGCTAAAATATGCACAGAAGAGCTTGAAAATCTTCTAAAAAAAGAACAACAACTTGAGAAAAAAGTTAATAGAATAAAATAAAGTAATGAACTGATATAAATTGATTTAAAAAATATTAATGATGCCAAAGATAATATGAAAAAATTTAATATAAATTTTGAGACATTGCAAAATTTTAAAGATAAATTCAAGAAAACAGATTTAAAAACTAAGGAAATGTAAACAGTATTTGACAAGATGTATGAGCAAAAACTGGAAAATGTAAAATTAGAAGAATACAGAAATCAACTCAAAAAGCTTAAAATGATGAAAGAGGAATAGAAAAAGGGATATAAAATATTTTGCGAAGTAGAAAATCCTTAAGATGTTTCAGTAAATTAATATGTAAGAAGATTTATGAAGGTAAATGGAACAGAGATACCTCACAATTAATGGAAAATAGATAAAGATTTTTAGCAAGAGCAAATAGAAGAAGATGAGGAAAACGAAGATCATATTAATCACAGCGATTACAATAATATAAACCAAGACATTAGTATAGAAATTAGAAAGAGAAATATTTCAGAAATAAATCAAGACCTAAATAATAACAACAACAACAATAATAATAATGACATTACTTAATTTTCTGTCCTTTAAAATTCACAATAATACAATTTCGAGCAGAACAATTAAATTTATTAGGAAATAAAAGAAAGAAAATCTGCTATCAACAATCTCCTCAATACAATTTACAATTTATGAAAAAAAATACTATTTGAATCTTCTAAATTTAAAATTTTTCATTTGCAATTTCAGCTAAATTAAGTTTATTATTTTATCTCTAACTTAAAAATTTTTCTGATATTAATCCATTGAAAAAAAATTATTTTTTATTTTATATTTCATAGTAAAAAATAAAAAATATATTTAAAACCATTTTTATATAGAAAAATAATAATAAAATAGAATGAATCAAGCAATATCTTCTTTCTATTTCTATATTTCTTTAGCTAGAAACATTCCTGATTATTATAAATTTATATCTTGATTAATATTCATGTTTATATTTTAATTAAATGTTACTTAATATTTCATAACATTAAATGATAATTGTCGATAATAAAATTTAGATGTAAATTTATTTCAATTCATTTACACATTAAAAATTAAATGGGAAAATTTTGAATTATTTTGCACAAAAAGTTTATTAATTTTTCTATTCAAAGCTTGAATGATTAAATTACCTCAATTTTTAACACAAAATTTGTCATAAGAATATATTAATAAAGTAAAAAATCATTATTTATCCATTTACTTTAACTGTAGTATTTTTTAAGCGAATTTTATTAACACGAACATTTGAAATATATTTTAATTCATTTACACATTAAAAATTAAATGGGAAAATTTTGAATTATTTTGCACAAAAAGTTTATTAATTTTTCGATTCAGAGCTTGAATGATTATCTTACCTCAATTTTTAACACAAAATTTGTCATAAGAATATATTAATACAGTAAAAAATCATTATTTATCCATTTACTTTAACTGTATTATTTTTTAAGCGAAATTTATTAACACGAACATTTGAAATTTTACTACAATTTTCATTATTATAAGTAAACTAGATAAAAACATGGATTGTTTTTAAATTAGCAATAAGAATTTATTAGAATTTAGAAATTCAATTTTTAGCTTGAATTATTTTTAAAATATAAAATAGACAATTTAAATTAAGATATTTAGCATATTTCATCGCCCATGATTTAGAACTAAATAATTAAAAATCTTGGCAAACATAAATCTAAAATAGCTCTATTATTAGATAATATGAATGTAAAAAATTTGAATTGCAATCAATATTAAAATAATAAGAAAAGTCTATGAGGATAGTTAACTATTAATAATTAAGTTAATATAAAAGAAGTAAGTAGAAATAATCTTAATTGATTTGATGATATCTTAGATTTGTGATTTAAATTATAGATAATTAATCAAAAAAGTGTATTAATTAATTAATAATTATTCAATTAATTTCTTTAAGAATACTAAATTAATATTTAAGTAAAATTAAAAAAAGACAAATAAAAGAACAAAAGGCACTAAATATTTAATAGAATTATTTGATCTCAATAAGTTATGGGTTGCTGCGAGGGTTTTGTAAAAATTTATTTATTAATAGGATGCTTCTTTGATGCAGCTTTAGGTATTGCATGTATAGTCCTCTCTGCTTATGCATCTAAGGTTGATGAAGATCTATTTTACAAGCAAAATTACAAAGATTACAAGAAAGATTTCTGTATTGCTCTATACGTTTTAGGTGGTGTTACCATAGCAACTGGTATTTTAGGAGCATATGGATTCTTGAAAAAAATGAAATGCCTCTAATCAATATTTATAATATTGAATATCATTTACTGCGCTGCATTTGCTGCCATTTTTGGTCTATCTATCTATGCCAAAAACTACATCAACGACTAAATGACTGATTCCTAGTGTTTAAGTGGAGATATGGCAGATTATAATACTGTTTTTGAGTAGTTATAAGGTGTGTGGTGCAATATCGATTTACTCAATGCAACAGGAAGTGTATCTTGTCCATGCTTGGCCACTAACTTGAGTTAATGGAGCGATTCAGAATTGTAGTAAATTAGAAACACTAAAAAGGCTTTTAAATAGAACACAAATTGGGTTCCTATACCTACTGAAACAGTTCTTACCTGCAACTATTTCATTGAATATATAGCCTAACAAAAGGCTGATGAAATCAAGCTTCTTGAAGCCGTAGAAAGAAACTTTAAATGCACAGGAGTCTGCTCTGGTGATCTCGTCTACTACTTTAATGACATAAACTCTGGTCGTCCTGACAATGCTGATGGTTGCTATCATTAAATAAGAGATAAACTGATTGACTGGTCTGGATATATTTACATAATTTCAATTATCATAGCCGTAATCACCTTCCTCAATGTATTCTTAGGTAAAATTAAAGCTTCTTTATTATAAATTTTATTTAAGCTGAATATGAAAAAATTCAAGCGTTAAAATAAATTTGTCTAAAACTTTTTCCTTATTAAATTAGAATACATTTTATAAATAATTGCAATATATTAAATTTATTTATAAATAAAAATAGCTTTTGTCAATTGTTGTATAGGAAATAAGCCATAAAATTACTCTGAAACAAAGCGTGTTGAATAATATTGAATAAATTTGCTTTACTAAATACTAAATATTATTTATATACACTCCTACTTAAATCATAATTATTTTGAATTTTATTAATTAAAACTTAATTAATTATTTGTAACTAAATCAATCCTAATTTATAAAAACAAGTATGCTTTAATATATTCTTATCAGCAAATCCTTTAATTATTCCATATATATAAATTTATTTAAAATTAATTTGCCTTTGAAATCAATTAATTATGAAACTTTATTTTCAATAAATACTTTTCAACTCATCTGATATCTTTCTAGATATTTCAGTTTTAAGATAAGCAAAGTACATTAATATATTTTTACATAGAATTAAAATGAATTCAATATAAAAAACATATATAAAGGGAGTAAATCAATTATTGGTAAAAAAACAAAATCGCTATTCTCGAATTATTATAAAAAAACTTACATAATTATGGGAATACATTTTATATCTATCACCCCTTATAAACAAATAATAATTTTATATTGATTTTGTTAAACTAGAATTAGATTAAATACAGATAAAAAATGATGGGCGCCATTCAAAAAAAGGAGATTAATGTTTTTAAAAATTGTATTTTTAATTTACACTTTTTACAAAATTTTAATTAGATTCATTCTATAGATACTTATTTTTATTATTAATTCAAGTAAATATTAGCCTCAATACTTTGATTGATTTTACAAAAAAATTAGAAATTGGCTCAGGAAATTTCCCTTTTTTGTTTGTTTTGTAACTTTTAGAAAAAGAATAATGTAAATTGATGAATCTGAAATTAATTAAAAAGGCGTTATTATTGAAAAATAAAATTTGATTTGATTAAATTTACATTGATTGCAAAAATTTAGTTACATAAGTATCAGTAACAGTAATGGAATAATATTTTACTTTATTACCAAATATTATTATTTAAATTCGAGTTGTATTTTTTAATAAATACATATTTCAATAAATTTAATCCTACCTTCTCAAAAACAATGAAATATATTTCAATTTAAATTATTTCTATTATAAAAAATTATAAAATTTATTTGTCCTAATAAAATTTTATTATGCTTTACTTCTACTAGAGGCAAAACAACTTATTTCTATTCAAAGGATGAATAAAGCATTTCATATTAAAAAAAAAAACTTTTAACAACTAATGAAAAGTTACAAGTAATCTGTGTTTAATAATCAAAAAATAACTATGCTTTACTTTAATATTATCTATGTATCGATTCAAATATTTAAATAATAAAAAAAGGTAAAAAGAAATCCAAATAATTAATTTTTTTAATAATAAACTAAAGATTTATTAATCGATTTAAAAAAAATTAAAGTAAGCTAAATGCCATCAGTGCAGTTATTCTTGAAATTTTATCTAATATTTGGAAGCTTTTGTAATGTGTTATTAGGAATTGCTTGCATTATTTTATCTTCATAAGCAGCTAAAATCGATGAAAATCTATTTCCAGAACAAGACTAAAAAAATTATAAGAAAGATTTCTGTATTGCTTTGTATGTCTTAGGAGGTGTCACTATCGGAGTTGGAGCCGTAGGATTCTACAGTTTTATTAGGAAATAAAAATGCTTGTAATCTATTTTTATTATATTTAATATTATTTACTGTGCTGCATTTTCTGCGATTTTCGGGATAACAATTTATGTATAAAATTATATCAATAAATAAATGACTGATTCTTATTGCTAGTAAGGTGAACTCGGCGATTACAATACAGTTTTTCAACAACTATAATCGGTTTGGTGTAATATTGACCTAACAAATTTATCAGGTAGTGTGACTTGTCCTTGTTTAGCAACTAACCTTTCCTAATGGACAACTGAAGAATTAAAGCTAATAAATAGTTCTAAGTAAGCTTTTAGATAAGATTCAAACTGGATTCCTATTCCTACCACAACAATTCTTGAGTGCAATTTCTTTATCTAATAAATAGCTGAATAAAAAGCTAAGGAAGTTACTCTTTTAAAAGCAATTGAAAGTAACTTTGAGTGCACAGGAATATGCACAGGAGATTTAGTTTACTACTTCAACAATATCAACTCTGGTCGACCTGCAAATTCAAATGGATGCTATTCATAAATTAGATAAAAGTTGACTGACTGGGCTTAATACATTTACATAATTTCTATCATCATAGCTTGCTTTTCATTTCTTAACATATTATTTGGTAAATTATAAATCATTCTTTCAAATACTCGTGGTTTATTTTAACAAATTTCCCACTTAAAACTAAAACTTTTTTAATTATTAAAAGCTCTTATAAACTGTTGTATTGGAAGCAAGTAAAATCATATTCTAATATCAAATAATAATACAGAAGAAGTGAAAAATTGATAAATCCTTAACATGTTCTGGATGATAACGCTTCAATATCTCTAATTTATTATTAGTTTTTTTCTCTTTCTTCTTTGAGTTTATAATTAAATTATCCAAATATACTTTTAATTTAATTTACTATTTATTGCTATTTATAATCAAAGAATTTATAAAATTTATTGAATTTATATTTTATACAAATTCGTTTCATTTTTTTAAAAAAAATATCATAAAATATGTGTAAATAAGTAAAAATTTATTTATATTATAGTGAGTACTCATTTTAAGTATCCATCCTTTATATTTAATTAAATTTTAAGAATTTACAGCAAAAAATTAAAAAAAGTAAATTGAAATATACTGATAAATGAAAATATGTTTATGGATATTTAAAGGTATGTAAAATAAAAATAATTTAAAAAATATAATTATAAAAATTAGTCAAATATACTGATTTTTGGCTAGTGACAAGATTTGACTATAGTATTAATCTCTGACAAAGGTATTTATTTCTTTTACGTCTATTCTTGATGTATTTTTGTTTAGAAATATAAATTAAGATTTACAACAAATCTTGTGGATATTTAATTAAAAGGATTTAATATCAAAGATAAGTAAAATTAACAATAATCAAATATCAACACTTGTTAAGTAGGTTTATAAATTTATGGCAGAAGAAAAGATCAAGATTTTTAGCTCAAGTTAAGATTTTCTATTTTAGCTGAAAAATTATTCTTAAAACAAAATTGAGTTAGAATTTGAATCTGAATGCACAGATAATCTTGAATTTATTGAATAAGCTGGTCATAGCATAGGATAATTGAAACATATTTCTGAAATGTCATTAATGTTTAAAAAGAACACAAATCTAAAATAAGAAGGATGGAGATTTTTGTTCAAAGGATTGGAGTAGCTTAATTAATTGAAATGTTTAGAAGTTCAAGTAGGTGAGTAGTGCTTTTTAGAAGATTAGGGATTAAATCTATTAATTTATGCATATTCTTCATTGGTGAATCTAAAAAAATTAAGTTTAATAGTAGAAAATGCTAATTTTATTTCTTCTTCTTGCGTTAAGAATGTTTTTGATTATCTTAAACATTTTCCTGAGTTAGTTGAATTGAAGGTGTAAATTTTAGAGTTTTAAATTGATATTTTAGAGAATAAAATGAACATTTGGTCAGGTATTTACTCTTTATAGTAGGTATAAAGTTTAGATCTATCTCTTAATCTTTCATATAATAATGAAGAAGATATTGATGAATTCTTTCTAGCGCTACTTTCTCTCAAAAACTTAACACAATTAGTTCTAAATCTAGGTTATAACTAACAAGAATTTGACTTTATTGAAAAAATGACATTACATCTGTCGAAATATACTCAGTTAAAAGAACTTAGCCTTGGTTTAAATGGAAAATTAAATGAATAGCAAGAAGATTTATTGATCTTTACGTTTTTTCAAAAACTGACTAATTTAGAGAAAATTGATTTGAGCAAATGCTTTGGAAATTTTCTTCTTTTTAGTTTTCCTGACAGATATTATGAATCTCTCTCATATTTACCTCACTTGAGAGATTTAAAAATTGAATTAATCCCTTAATCAAATTAAAAAAAAGGATCTGCAATGAAAAGAGTTAATTGCCTATGCAATAAATAAAATCTAAGAAGTTTATAATTATTAAGTTCATATACCGATCTAAATGATGAATAAAGTCTGATTTTGTATAAAGCACTATAGAATAATAAAAAAATGGAATATTTAAATTTATAATTAAGAATAATACCAAATGAGCATTTAAGTGTCCAACTTATTGAATCTTTATGCTGTTTATAGTAACTAAAATAGCTGGAAATACAATTCGCTATCAACAGCAGAAGTATAAATAGCTTAAATTAGATAATTTCAGCTATTGGAAACATTAAAAGTTTATAAAATTTAAAGATGCATCTAAATTTTCTAGATATTCCCAATCTAAATTAATAATAACTTGTTTTATCTAGTTTAAAAAATATCAATTTAAGTAGCTTTGAATTTCAGTTAGATGCTGTGATTTTAGGAAAAGAGTTTCAAGAGTTAGGAAAAATGCTTTAAAATTAAAAGCAATTGCAAAAGTTGAAAATTATAATTAGATTTAAACAATACTAAAACTTTTTTTTTTTGGATAATCAATAATAAATTTAATAATAAATATAAAATCATTATTAAATAGAATCAATTGAAGATTTTATTGAAGGAATTAAAAGTCTTTAAAACCTGAAAGAGCTTCAGTATGGTATCAACCACTCGACTAATACTCAAACATTAGATCCAATTTTTGATTCTCTATCGTATTTAAATAATTTAGAAGTGTTTAAACTCCTAGAAGATAAAGATTATGAAGATTCATAAATAGTTTTATTAACAAAATCTCTTTGTAATTTAAAAAAACTAAAATAACTAAAATTATAAGAAATTAAATCAGTTGAATAAGAAGTTTTATTATGTTAAATTGAAAATATTTCTAATTTGAATACTCTTTAATAGTTAGATTTCTTTAATAAAATTTAAAATATAGATAACATGAAAATTGGAGTAACTAAACTCTTTTTAAATTTATCTTAGCTTTAGAGTCTTTAAATGGCTATTTAAATCTCTCAAAACAATGAGCTTTTGTTTGAAGATATCATTACAGGAATTGGAAAATTAAAATAGTTGTAAAAGCTTAAAATAAAATTTGGTTAATATTAATTCACTGACACTGGTTCATATCATTTTAGTTAGGCATGCTAAGGTTTGGAAAATCTAATAGAGCTAATGATAGATAATATTATCATAGATGATGACATGACATAAAATGGTATAAAATTTTTACAAGAGGGATTTTCAAAGCTTTAAAAACTAAAAATCTTTGATAGTGATTTTTATATCCCAACTGTAGAGTTTTCTTAAATATTAAAAGAATTTTTCACAAAGAAATCTTTGAACGAATTGAACATAAGAGTTGAGACTAAAGAAAAGCTAAACACAAAAGATGACATGGAAATTAACTAATAAATAGATTAATTAATTGAAACAAAATAAAACATTAATCACAATTTAACAAAAATATTTTTAGATTTTGAATATTGCTTAAAACAGTAAGCATTTTAAATTTAGAAATTTTATGAAAACTTGATTAACTTATAAAATCTTAACAATTTATCAATAGTTCATAATTGGGATATAAGTTATGACTAAAATTAATAAGTTGATTTTACTTAAATTTTTAAGAATTTAGCTTGTGGATTTTAGCAGTTTAAAAAATTGTAGAAGTTAAAAATCTAACTTAAAAACTGTTATTTTGACTTAGAACAAATCCCAATTGACAATATGAAATGCTTGAATAATTTGAAGAACTTAGATTTGGTATTAAATTTTTGTTCTTTATATTCAGAACATAAGCTGTTTGATTCGTTGAAATTTTTAAATCAACTTTAATACCTAAATATTTGTATTGATAAACATAGTAAGTTTGGTAAAAACGCAGCAATTTCACTTGGAAAAAGTTTAATGCATTTAAAAATGGTTTAAAAATTGATCCTCAATTTAATAGAAGGTTGTTAAATTGAATAAGAAGGAGCTGCAGAAATTGGCACAGGACTAGGCTACTTGAAGAATCTTACTTTCCTTAACATTTATTTTATGGAATCTTGTAAAATAAATGAGATTGGAGCAATAAAATTAGGAGAAGGGATAAGTAAACTTTTAGCATTAAGGGAATTATACCTTACAATTTGCTCAAATAATAATATTACAAAAAAGGCTGGTGCTTTCTTAGCATCTTCTTTAAGAAATAAAAAATATTTGAAGAAACTTAATTTTGTTTTATTAAAAGAAAACAATGAGCAAGGCTAAGAGTTTTTAGATGAAATATCTAAATTTTTTTATGAATCAAAACATCTTAAATAAAGTTATTTAATGGTTAGCTTTGATGAATACCCAAAATATTGCCCAGATTAGTTAAAAAATTTTATCTCTGAACTCTCTGGATAAGATATTAGTTTGTAAATAAGTAATAGATTACCACAAATTCAAACAAAAATGACCATTTAAAGTGATGAAGGATAAATAAAATTTATATTTAGCTATGATGAAAAATTAACTGAATATTATCCTAAAATTGAATTAGAATTAATGCAAAAAATTGATAAAAGCAAAAAAATTATCTTAAATTTTGAAATAAGTGATAACAATATTTCTAGCCATAAGATTACTAGCGTAAAAGAGTTAATTTAACAACTTCAAGTGTAAAATTTAGCAATTTATTTATAATTTTATCAGTTTTCATAAATTTACTTAGATGAAATTATTTTTCAGGCATTAAAAAATAAAGAGCTACTCCATTTTAATTTAGCTTTAAGATAGGAAGGAGTCTAAGAAGTTCAAAATGAAGTTCTTATTTAAATTGGGAAACGTTTTAGCGAATTAAATTTATTAACTCTTGAATTAATATTTAGCGATTCAACATATGAAAATTTATTTACAAATAAATATGCGCTTATTTTTAAAGAATTATCTCATTCTAAAACTCTTCGAGCCATATCAATAAGAAGTCCATATTCTAATATGAATAAGCTTAAGCGCAATATGAAATATATTCAAAGGCTTGTAACATTTTCTTATATTTGACAATTTTTTTATGATGACCAAGATGATTATAATAATAATAATAACAACAACAATATATGTACTTTTTATTTCTTTGAGTGTTTTGTAATAAGGTAGTATTGCTTGCTATTCTGAATTTAAAAAAATATCTATTTTTACAGTATAATTTTTTTCATTTTATTGTATCATAAATTAATTTATCATTATCTTTATATTAAATTTTAACAATTTTTTTACTGTGAGATGTTGTAAGATGTTGTGAGATAGGTGTAGATATAGCCTCCCCCCTCCTTATAATTTTAAGATTAATTTGGATTAAACAAATAAATAACAATTATTCAAATTCTAAAACTGTTATAACATCTTACTTAAAATAAAATAAAAATAAAAATATTAATAATTAAATTTAAATTTTAAGTTGTATTCTGAGTGCATTTATATGTGCGAGTATTTCTATTCTATTCTATCACCAATTTTATTATTACTTTTAAATATTGAAGAAAGAATGTATAATTAATTAGTTATTTAGAACAAAAAAATATGAAATAATAAGAAAATTATTATTAAATAATAAAAAGAAATTGAAAATATTAAAATGAGTTAAATTAAGAAACATAGAAGAAGAAAAAAAAGTAAAATAAAAAAGAAAAAGAAAAATAAATCAAATAAAAAGCTAATAAATAAATTAAAAGAGTTTTATTATATTAAATTTATTTTTATTAGTAAAAATATCTCAATCAAAAGTGAATAAATTGTTTTTACTTAAGACTAAGAGACAAACTTAAGAGATTAATGCAATTTGCTAAAGAAGAACCTAAGTCTGAAGCACCTGTTGCACCAATTTAATTGTGGCTTTTTATATATTAAGCAATTAATTAGTTATGTTGAAGGAAAAAATGAACAAAAAATATGAAATGAATTAATAAATAATACATGCAAATGTTAAATTTAAAAAAATCGTTTGCTAAGAAAGACAGAAGAAGAAAAAAACTCAAATATAATAAAAATAAAACAGAAAAGTAAATCAAATAAAAAATAAATAAACAAATTAAATAAGTTAATTATATTGTTTTAAATTCATTTTTATAAATAAAAATATCATTATTCAAAACAAATAAAACTTTTTTACTTTAATAAAAGTGTCAAATTTAAGAGATTAGTGCAATTTGCTAAAGCAGAACCTAATCCTGATGCACCTGTTTCACCAATTTAATTTTAACTTTTTAAATATTGAAGAAAAAATATTTAATTAATTAGTTATTTAGAAGGTAAAATGAAGAAATAATATGAATTAATAAATAATAAAAGTAAATGTTGAAAATAAAAAAATTAATTAGTTAAACTAAAAAAGATAGAAGAAGAAAAAAAACACAAATATGATAAAAAAGAAAAAGAAAAGTAAATCAAATAAAAAAATTAAAAGAGTTATATTATTTTAAATTCATTTTTATTAGTAAAAATATCATAATCTAAACAAATAAAACATTTTTACCTAAGATCAAATCCTAAATTTTAGATATTAGTGCAATTTGCTAAAGCAGAGCCTAAGCCTGATGGACCTTAATCACCAATTTCATTGGATCTTTTTAAATATTGAATAAAAAATATATAATTAAATATAATTAACTAGCTATTTAGAAGGAAAAAGTAAAGAAAAAATAAGATAAGAATTAATAAATAAATAAATAAAAAATATTGAAAAAAAAATCAATTAAATTAAGAAAGATAGAAGAAAAAAAACACTAATACAATAAAAAAAAGAAAGATATCTCAAATAAAAAGCAAATAAAAAAATTAAAAGAGTTTTTTTTTTAAAATTCATTTTTATTAGTAAAAATATCACAATCTAAATTAAATAAACTGTTTTTACCTAAGACTAAGTTTAATATTTGAGAGTTTAGTGCAGTTTGCTAAACCAGAACATAACCCTGATAAACCTTAATCACCAATTTTATTGGATCTTTTTAAATATAGAAGAAAAAATTTTTAATTAATTTGTTATTTAGAAGGAAAAAATGAAAAAAAATACTAAATAATAAGAAAAGTTAAATTAAGAAAAAACACAAATACAATAAAAAAGAAAAATAAATAAATAGATAATAAACAAATTAAAAGAGTTATATTTTATTAAATTCAATTTTATAAATAAAAATATCACAATCCAAGACAAAAAAACTTTTTTTTTTTTTACCTAATATCAAGTATCAAATTTGAGAGATTAGTGCAATTTGCTAAAGCAGAACCTAAGTCTGATGCACCCATTGCACCAATTTAATTTTTACTTTTTAATTATTGAAGGAAGAATATAAAATTAATTAATTATTTAGAACAAAAAAATATGAAATAATAAAAAATGAGTAAATAAATAATAAAAGCAAATGTTGAAAATATTAAAATGAATTAAATTAACAAAGATAAAAAAGAAAAAAAAACAAATACAATAAAAAAAGAAAAGTCAATCAAATTAAAAACTAAAAAGCAGAATTAAAAGTGTTATATTATTTTAAATTTAAATTTATATTTATAAAGAAAAATATAATAATCCAAAACACATAAACTATTTTTACTTAAGATCAAGTATCAAATTTGAGAGATTAGTACAATTTGCTAAAGCAGAATCTAAGACTGATACACTTTAATCATCAATTTTATTGGATCTTTTTAAATATTGAAGAAAAAATTTATAATTAATTTGTTATTTAGAAGGAAAAAATGAAGAAAAAATATGAAATAATAACAAAAGATTTAATAAAAAAATAATAAAAGCAAATATTAAATATAAAAAAATGAGCTAAATTAAGAAGGATTGAATAAGAAAAATGGCAAGTACAATAAATTAGAAAAAGAAAAAGAAATAAAAACTAATATACAAATTAAAAGATTTTTATTTTTTTTAATTCAATTTCATAAGTATCACAATCCAAAACAAATAAACTGCTTTTACTAAAGACTAAGTGTCAATTTTGAGAGATTAATGCAATTTGCTAAAGCATAATCTAGGCCAGATGCACCGATTGCGTCAATTTAATTGTTACTTTTTATATTGAAGATAAAAAAGATTAAATCTTCAGTAATATACACATGGATGTAAATGCTATAATTATTCACTGTTTTTTTTATTGGTTCTAAAAATGTTTTCAATACACTCACTAATCATTAAATGCGGCATTATGCACTATGTTTCCTAAATGAAAAATACTATTCATTTTTTTTTGTTGGAAACCAAGCTGAACCAAATATTTTTTATTACATATTACGAAAGAGTATAATTGAAAACATGAAAGCAAAAAAATTTTGAGCAATAAAATTTGAACTCTTTATGGAAAGTTTTTCAAAATATTGATATGTTTTATCTAAAAAATTGAATTTTTGAAAAACCCATAATTTTTGATTAAGAAATTGATAATATTTAATGTATTTTTTATAAAAAAATGAATGGAAATTTTATATTTTTAAAGACTTTCTACAAAAATTTTAATAATTTCAATGTAAATTTTTAAGCTTAATGGCATGTGTATGTTTTTAACTTTTACATCCATGTGTTAATTTATTTTTGGATATTTATTTAGAAAGAAAAAATTAAGAAAAAATATTAAATAATAAGAAATGAATTAATTAATAAATAAATATTGACAAATAAAAATCTTCTTAACAAATTAATAAAATTTTATTGTTTTAAATTCATTTTTATAAGTAAAAATAATACAATCCAAAACAAATAAATAAATTGCTTTTACTAAAGATCAAGTGTCAAATTTGAGAGATTAGTACAATTTGCTAAAGCAGAACCTAAACCTGATGCACGGATTGCACCAATTTAATTGTTACTTTTTAAAAATTTAAATAATAATTTATAATTAATCAATTATTTAGTAGGAAAAAATGAAGAAATAAAAAGAAAAGAATAAATAAATAATAAAACAAATATTGAATATTAAAAAAATGAGTTAAATTGAAAAATATAGGAAAAACACACAAATAAATATAATAAAAAAGAAAAAGAAAATTAAATCAAATAAAAAGCTAATAAACATGTTTAAAGAGTTTTTTGTATTAAATTAATTTTTATAAGAAAAATATCATAATCCAAAACAAATAAATTGTTTTTACCTAAGATTAAGCGTCAAATTTGAGAGATTAGTGCAATTTGCTAAAGCAAGACCAAAGCCTGATGCATCTTAATCATCAATTTAACTCCAACTTTTTAAATATCGAAGAAAAAATAAAAAAATAAATCGTAATTATGGTAAAAATGAAGAAAAAATATGAAATAATAAGAAATAAATTAATAAATAATAAAATATAAATTAAGTTAAATTAAGAAGATAGAAGTAGAAAAAACACAAGTAAAATAAAGAAGAAAAAGAAAAGTAAATAAAAAAAAAACTAAAAAACAAATTAAAAGAGTTATTTTACCTTAAATTAATTTTAATAACTAAAAATATCCAAAATAAATAAACTTTTTTTATCAAGTAAAAGTTTCGAAAAAAAGAATAAAAATATCAGTAATAAAAAATGGATAATTAATTTAATAATTTAAAGTGACAAAAAGTTAAAATAGATAAAAAAATATTCGTACAAATAAAATGAGTGAATGAATATAGGTGATAATTTCTATTAAAAAAATCAAACTGAAATTTAAATAGAAAATATTAATAATAATAATAATATTTATAAATTAAATATACTTCAGATCAATATCAAGAGCCTAATGAGATTAAAGTGAAGAGTTTATAAACTTTTTATATTAGCAAAAATAAATTTAAAGTATATAGATAAAAATAATAATTATTACATCTTCTAATTTGTAGTAATAGTTAATCTATTATTTCATTTATTTTTTTTCTCAAAAATATTAAATCGCAATTTATGAAAATTTAATTAATTATAAGTGGATAAAAGGAACAAATAAATTATATGAATTTATAAATTTGCTTTTAGTTAGTAAGAGAAATCACAAAAAAATAAGTGTAACATTCAATATTAAATCTTAATATTTTTATTTAAAATGTGTATTTTAAAATATAGTAGAAACTAGAGAACAGATATAAATGATGGATAATAAAGATGCGAACTCATTAGAATAAAATAAAATAAAATTTTGATGTATTTAAGCCTATTTTTCTAATTAGATTCATTTTCATATTTTTTTAAATCTTAAATTTTTGAATTGTCTAAGCTGCTTTTAATTAGCAAGAATTGAAATCTTGCTAGTTTTATACAATTTTGGATTAGCAATATTATATAAATTTATTTAATATTATATAGATAAATAATTATAGGTGTAACCTATCACTATTTATCTCTCTAATACAAAAAAAAATCTGCAATTAACAATAATAAAATAATTTATATTATTCAAACATTTAATATCTATTCATCCTTTTTTCGCCACTTGTTTATCATCCGAATATTTTTTAAAAGACAACTAATCTTTTTGATTTAAGACACTTGTTTATTACTTTGAATTTTTATTATTTCTTTAAGCTAAAAATTTTATAATAAATTTGTGTAAATTTTTAATAAATATCAAAATAGAATATACTTTTAAATTAAAAATATTTCTTTAAATTAATAAATAAAATAGTATTAGTGGAATAAAAAAGATAAAAAAATAAATTAATAAAGCCTTCAAATAAATTCAAAGATATTTTTGTTTTATATTCATTTTATAGTTTAAAATATCACAATCTAAAACAAATAAACTGTTTTTACCTAAGTTAAAGTGTTAAATTTAAGAGATTAATACATTTTGCTAAAGCAGAACCTAAGCCTGATGCACCTTTATCACCAATTTAATTTATACTTTTTAAATATTGAAGAAAAAATATATCATAAATAGTTAACTAGAAGGAAAAAATGAAGAAAAAATATGAAATAATAAATAAGATTAATTAATAATAAAATCAAAACTTGAAAACAAAATTATGTATTAAATTAACAAAGAAAGAACAAAAAAAAGCAAACAATCACAATAAAAAGAAAAAGAAAAAAGAGCTTTATTGTTTTTAATTAGTTTTTATAATTAAAAATATTACAATCCAAAACAAATAAACTGTTTTTACCTAAGATCAAGTGTCAAATTTGAAAGATTAATGCAATTTGCTAAAGCAGAACCTAAGTTTGATGCACCTTCATCACCAATTTAATTAAAACTTTTTAAATATTGAAGAAAAAATATATCAATAAATAGTTAATTAGAAGGAAAAAATGAAGAAAAATATGAAATAATAAATAAGATTAATTAATAAATAATAAAAGCAAAAGTTGAAAATAAAATGATGAGTTAAATTAACAAAGAAAGAACAAAAAAAAGCAAGCAAGCACAATAAAAAGAAAAAGAAAAAAGAGCTTTATTCTTTTTAATTAGTTTTTATAATTAAAAATATCGCAATTTAAAATAAATAAACTGTTTTTACCAAAGTTAAAGTGTTAAATTTGAGAGATTAATGCAATTTGCTAAAGCAGAACCTAAGTTTGATGCATTTTCATCACCAATTTTATTACTACTTTTTAAATATTGAAGAAAAAAATTTTCATTAAATAGTTATTTAGAAGGAAAAAATGAAGAAAAAATATGAAATTATAAATAAGATTAATTAATAATAAAAGCAAAAGTTGAAAATAAAATGATGAGTTAAATTAACAAAAAAAAGCAAGCAAGCACAATAAAAAGAAAAAGAAATAAGAGCTTCATTGTTTTTAATTAGTTTTTATAGTTAAAAATATCACAATCCAAAACAAATAAAATGTTTTTACAAAAGCAGAAGTGTCAAATTTGAAAGATTAATGCAATTTGCTAAAGCAGAACCTAAGCCTGATGCACCCATTACACCAATTTAATTGTTCCTTTTTAAATATTGAAGAAAAAATATATCAATAAATAGTTAATTAGAAGGAAAAAATGAAGAAATTAATATGAAAAAATAAATAAGATTAATTAATAATAAAAGCAAAAGTTGAAAATAAAATGATGAATTAAATTAACAAAGAAAGAACAAAAAAAAGCAAGCAAATACAATAAAAAGAAAAAGAAAAAAGAGCTTTATTGTTTTTATTAATTAGTTTTTATAATTAAAAATAATACAATTCAAAACAAATAAACTATTTTTACGAAAGCTTAAGTGTCAAATTTGAGAGATTAATGCAATTTGCTAAAGCAGAACTTAAGCCTGATGAACCTTCATCACCAATTTAATTTCCACTTTTTAAATATTGAAGAAATAATATATCATTAAATAGTTAATTAGAAGGAAAAAATGAAGAAAAATATGATATAATAAATAAGATTAATTAATAATAAAACCAAAAATTGAAAATAAAATAATGAATTAAATTAACAAAGAAAGAACAAAAGCCAAGCAAGCAAGTACAATAACAAGAAAAAGAAAGAAGAGCTTTATTGTTTTTAATTAGTTTTTATAATTAAAAATATCACAATCCAAAACAAATAAACTGTTTTTACCTAAGACCAAGTGTTAAATTTAAGAGATTAATGCTTTTAGCTAAAGCAGAACCTAAGCCTGATGTACCTTCATCACCAATTTAATTAAAACTTTTTAAATATTAAAGAAAAAATATTTAATTAAATAGTTAATTAGAAGGAAAAAATGAAGAAAAATATGATAAAAGCTAAAAATGAAAATAAAATGATGAGTTAAATTAACCAAAAAAAGCAAGCAAGCACAATAAAAAGAAAAAGAAAAAAGAGCTTTATTGTTTTTAATTAGTTTTTATAATTAAAAAGATCACAATCTAAAACAAATAAACTGTTTTTACAAAAGTATAAGTCTCAAATTTGAAAGATTAATGCAATTTGCTAAAGCAGAACCTAAGCCTGATGCACCCATTGCACCAATTTAATTTTCACTTTTTAAATATTAAAGAAAAAATATTTCAGTAAATAGTTAATTAGAAGGAAAAAATGTAGAAAAATATGAAATAATAAGATTAATTAATAAATAATAAAAGCAAAAGTTGAAAATAAAATGATGAGTTAAATTTACAAAGAAAGAACAAAAAAAACAAGCAAGTACAATAAAAAGAAAAACTAAAACGAGCTTTATTGTTTTTAATTAGTTTTTATAATTAAAAATTTCACAATCCAAAACAAATAAACTGTTTTTACCGAAGGTTAAGTTTCAAATTTGAGAGATTAATGCAATTTGCTAAAGCAGAACCTAAGCCTGATGTACCCATAGCACCAATTTAATTTCGACTTTTTAAATATTGAAGAAAAAATATATCATTAAATAGTTAATAAGAAGGAAAAAATGAAGAAAAATATGATATATAAATAAGATTAATTAATAATAAAACCAAAAGTTGAAAATAAAGTGATGAGTTAAATTAACAAAAAAAGAACAAAAAAAAGCAAGCAAGCACAATAAAAAGAAAAAGAAAAAAGAGCTTTATTGTTTTTATTAATTAGTTTTTATAATTAAAAAATCACAATTCAAAACAAATAAACTGTTTTTACGAAAGCTTAAGTGTCAAATTTGAAAGATTAATGCAATTTGCTAAGGCAGCACATAAGCCTGATGCACCTTTATCACCAATTTAATTTTCACTTTTTAAATATTGAAGAAAAAATATATCATTAAATAGTTAATAAGAAGGAAAAAATGAAGAAAAATATAAAATAATATTAAAGATTAATTAATAATAAAACCAAAAGTTGAAAATAAAATAAATGATGAGTTTAATGAACAAAAAAAAGCAAGCAAGCACAATAAAAAGAAAAAAGAGATAAATTGTTTTTAATTAGTTTTTATAATTAAAAATATCACAATTCAAAACAAATAAACTGTTTTTACGTAAGTTCAAGTGTCAAATTTAAGAGATTGATGCAATTTGCTAAAGCAGAACCTAAGCCTGATGCACCCATTGCACCAATTTAATTGTTCCTTTTTAAATATTGAAGAAAAAATATATCATTAAATAGCTAATTAGAAGGAAAGAATGAAGAAAAATATGAAATAATAAGATTAATTAATAAATAATAAAAGCAAAAGTTGAAAAAAAATTATGAGTTAAATTAACAAAGAAAGAACAAAAAAAAGCAAGCAAGCACAATAAAAAAGAAAACAAAAAAGAGTTTGATTGTTTTTAATAAGTTTTTATAATTAAAAATATCACAATCCAAAACAAATAAACTATTTTTACCTAAGATCAAGTGTTAAATTTAAGAGATTAATGCATTTTGCTAAAGCAGGACCTAAACCTGATGCACCCATTGCACCAATTTAATTTTCACTTTTTAAATATTAAAGAAAAAATATTTCATTAAATAGTTAATAAGAAGGAAAAAATGAAGAAAAATATGAAATAATATATAAGATTAATTAATAATAAAACCAAAAGTTGAAAATAAAATGATGAGTTAAATGAACAAAAAAAAACAAGCAAGCACAATAAAAAGAAAAAGAAAAAAGAGATATATTGTTTTTAATTAGTTTTTATAATTAAAAATATCACAATTCAAAACAAATAAACTGTTTTTACGAAAGCTGAAGTGTCAAATTTGAGAGATTAATGCTATTTGCTAAATCAGAACATAAGCCTGATGCACCTTCATCGCCAATTTAATTTTAACTTTTTAAATATTCAAGAAAAAATATATCATAAAACAGATAATTAGAAGGAAAAAATGAAGAAAAATATTAAATAATAAATAAAATTAATTAATAATAAAAGCAAAAGTTGAAAATAAAATTATGAGTTAAATTAACAAAGAAAGAATAAAAAAAAGCAATCAAGCACAAATAAAAGAAAAAGAAAAAAGAGCTTTATTGTTTTTAATTAGTTTTTATAATTAAAAATATCACAATCCAAAACAAATAAACTGTTTTTACGAAAGCTGAAGTGTCAAATTTGAAAGATTAATGCAATTTGCTAAAGCAGAACCTAAGCCTGATGCACCCATTGCACCAATTTAATTGTTCCTTTTTAAATATTGAAGAAAAAATATATCATTAAATAGCTAATTAGAAGGAAAAAATGAAGAAAAATATGAAATAATAAGATTAATTAATAAATAATAAAAGCAAAAGTTGAAAAAAAATTATGAGTTAAATTAACAAAGAAAGAACAAAAAAAAGCAAAAAATCACAATAAAAAGAAAAAGAAAAGAGAGCTTTGTTGTTTTTAATTAGTTTTTATAATTAAAAATATCACAATCCAAAACAAATAAACTGTTTTTACCTAAGATCAAGTGTTAAATTAAGAGATTAATGC